CCTAAGTGCTGGCATTAAAGGTGTTCACCTTTGTTATTTGTAGAAATATGTGTGTGTCAGACACGCACACACACACAGAGAGAAAGAGAGAGAGAGAGAGAAAGAGAAAAAGGAAGGGAGAGAGGGAGGAAAGGAGGAAGGAAGGGAGGGAACAAGTGAGGGAGGAAGGGAGGAAGGGACAGTGGGAGGAAGGGAGGGTGGGAGGAAGGGAGGAAGGGAGGGAGGAAGGGACGGTGGGAGGGAGGGAGGGAGGGCACATTCTTTTTAGTTTGGGTGTTATTTTAGCATATCTGGTATGGTTTGATATGAAATCCCATTCACGTGGGTGGGGCTGTTTGGTGAGAATTTTGGAGAAGAGGAGGCTGACTGGCAAAAGAAGCACACTAAACATGGCCTTCACAGGTTCTGGCACAGGTTATGTGGGGAGTCTTGGCACGAGCTCCTGCCAAAACTAACTGGGCAGCCCTAGAAATGCCTCCCTACCATGACAGACTGAAATTTTTAGTACCTGTGAGTGAACATGTCCTTCCTTTCCATTCTCAGCTGGCTTGTCACAGCACTGCTGACACTCTGACTCAGTGTGGACCTAGAAGGCTTCCCAAAGCCCCACTGGGATTGATATTTCATCTTTAAATTACCCTCAGACGGGCTTAGTGGTAAATTAAATCCCAAATTTTTCTTCATTGAATTCAAATTTTTGTTTGCTAATAACTCAGACTTTTATATATGTTATATGACAGATACAAAATATTGTTAGAAGAGTAACTCTAGTTTAGAAATTAGACAGTTTGTGACTTGGCATTATTATTAGGTTAATTGGGTAACTTTTAATGTAGATCAATTTACCAATTATGAATGTGGAACTAGTAAAATGTATTCTGTTTACGAGACCTTTAAAAAAGCTGGAAAAACTTTCAGTTGTTATGACTGTTTACTCCTCTTCCAGAAGTCTAGATTAGGGTTCTCAGACCCACTTCAGGGTTTCAAAGCAGACTGTAGCTCCAGCTTCAGGAGATGCCGCAGCTCTGACCTCTGAGGGTACCTGTGTGGAATGTATGTAGCTCCCCCACATTACATATAATTTAAAATAATATTATATATGTGCACTAAAAATGAGACCACTGGGGGTAAAAATAAAATTACCATAAAGTTTAAGAAGTAACACTTAAATAGTTTATTTTGTCTATTGTGTAGAAATGCATTTGAACATGTAGTTTTAAAGAATAGACTATTTAAATATCTTATTTTATTTTTATTCGTGGGTATATATGATTGTCGCTGTGAATGTGTATGCAGGTGTCCAAGGAGAACAGAGAAGGATGCTGAAGTCCCAGGAAATGTGGTTACAGGTGGCTTCAAGCCCCCAAAGGTGGATGGAAACCTAACTCAAGTCCTTTAGAAGAATACCAGCTGCTCATAAATGCTGACTCTTCTCTCAGTAGAGGTTTTATCACCCTGAGAACTCACTGTAGATTTCTATGGAAACGTTGGCTCTTAAGCAAAACAAACGACTCTATCAGTCTAGTACTTGTTCAAAATAAAGCACTCCCAGTAGAGCAATGAAGAGCCCTCTGAGTGACAGATATACCAAGCAGGTTTTAAGAACAATAACCTCTCAAAGGCATTTTTTGTAAGCTGTACACTTAGATATTTTAGCAATAAATAAAATGCTTTTTATGTAGGTCCTTACAAACTTATGCTCATAAATTACTTTTCAAAACAAAATTTTGTTTCCAAAATAATGTTTAAATAATATGTAGTTTTAAAAAATACTTAAATAATATGTAGTTTTAAGATTTATTCAATTAAACTTGCAGAAAAAATGATGCTTACCCATCATTCTCCTTAAAGTAGTTCTATGAAAGGAGTTTGATAATATAGCTAGAATGATGTCAGGGCATGAACCACCAGTCAGTGACAGCGAGGCAGTGAAAATGCAGACACTTCCTGTGCTTTCCCAACCAGCTGACAACACATCCGTACACTGAGCATCGAATGCTTTGCTTTGACAACTAGGCAGGTATTCATATTTTCTGGTATTATAGTCAGGGAATAGCTCAACACTGTCTCAGGTTATTTAGTGCCAACTCAGGTCAGTCTTCAGACATTTGTCCAAGTAACTGAACCAAGGACATCTGCTGAAGCCTTGTCACACTCAGTGACCATCTTAGCCTTTGCAAAGCTCTGGCTGGCAAGTGTGGCGCTGAGCAGTCAGTGCATAAAACACAGACCCACTGAATTGGAACACTGGGAATATTAAATAAACTGTATCCTGTTTCACATTTCAGTTGAGTCAAACCACTGAAAAGACCTTCCTCAAGAATTTACAACATAGGGAAAAAGAGAAAAGGGTGTCACAAGCACAGAGGGGCCAAGGGAAGAACTTTAAGCAAGATGGAGTTCTGGAAATACAGTTTATGGATATTCAATACTAAATTGCAATGACGGAAACAGCTTGAATTTCAATAAACTGGTAGTCAAAAAGTTTGATATACTGTTATTTGAAAGCAACAATAAAATTAAATTAAAGATTTAAATTCAGAAGACAAATCAGTAAAATAAATGCAAGCATAGAAAACATTTCTGAGTCCAGGAACTATAACAGATGTAAATTTCAGACAGCTTAATACTTTGAGAGAGGGAAAAGTTCATTTACTGTGATTTAATGAACAAATGGGTTCTGCTTCTTACTGTTCTGGTATGTGTGCATCCCATAGCTTTCTATTTTGTTTTTGTTTGCTTGGCTTTAAATAGCTAATAAGTGATGGTAGACCAATCACAACTGCAGATAGAAAAGCCACTGATATCAAAATTGTTTAGTTACTGTGAATATAACTAGAAACCAAACACAGCACAAGATAAGCCCATGGGCTTATTTCATTCCTACAAAGTTATGAGAAAAAAATAATAAAATAAAACTTTGATGTGCTGTTAACTCTTTAAATTTGTTAGAATTCCATTTTCTGGGTGTTGGCATTGGTTTTGTTGTTGCTGCTATTGTTTATTTTATTTTAATACGAGGTCACAAAGTGCAGCCCAGGTGGGCCTCAAATTAACTTTATTGCTTCAGATAACTGAATCTTTGTGCATCTGCCCCAGCCTCCCAACTCCTGGAGGTATATGCATGTGCCACCACGCACAGCTCAAAGGAATGAGCACAATAGACTACAGTACTCATTAGTATATAAAAAAATTAAAGTGTTGGTTTCAATCGCAATGTATTTTGAGTGACATAAGATGTTTGAGAAGTTTCACCACAAATAAAAAGAAAAGGCTGCATATTCTGTGAAAAACACATCAGGAATATGTGCTTTCACTTTGTTTAAAGCAACCATCATTAGATTATAGTTAAAGATAAACATAGGGACAAACACCACCCCAGGCATCTCTCTTGTTGCAGGAAGAAGCTGTTTACTCAGCAGCATTGACTTTGTATTGGTAACTTGCTGAGAGCAAGAATTGGGCTGCAAATCCAGGATGCCCTGTCAGAATCTCGACTGATATAGAGAGAGCAAATATGAAAGGCTCAGATGCTGAGGGAAGAGTAGCAAGGGGTCACATAGTTCAGAGCGTTGGCCCCACTGGTGCAATTTGGATGTGGCAGATGAAGCACGATAAAGCTTTTCTAGTCCAGTGCTTCTCAAACTTGAACTGCTTCCGAATCACCAGCAGTGTGATTGAATACAGATGTAGAGCTCCTCCTTTAGAGTTCCCATTTAAGTCGGACTTGGAATTCAAGGTTTTCCATTTCCTTGAAACCACCTTGTGAGAGACACACTGGAGCAGCATAATCTTTCCACTGTCAGCGAAATGACCATGCTGCCTTTGTTGAAGTGATGACTCCAAGACATTCTTTGCTAAATCACACAGGAACATACCGGTTAGAAGCTATTTCTTCCTGCTCTAATGCAATACTACTGAGGAACAGCTTGGCTGGGCAATGAGGCTTAGGAAGTAGCAAATCCTTACATGGATCCCTGTGTCTCATTGAAGCAATTCATTTGAAATTTTTGGAGGAATACTTTCACAGTCCTGACTTAAAAAACACCCACTTGAAGTGATGTAAAAAGTGCAGTTGACATCTCAGCAGAATGTGGTCTATTTTGTAGGGGATGGGGAGCATGCTGTACATTCGGAGGTCACAGGACAATTTGTGGTGTCAACCCTCATCTCCAACAAGGGGATCCTGGGAACTGGAATCAGAGGACAGAATCTTGTGGCAAGCTCCTTTACGCTGTATGCTATCTTCCTGGATCTGAATCAGAATATTTGAGGGGATGAAAATGTTCTTGCTAAATATCTATTGTATCATATTAACATCTCAATCATCATTTGATTTTATTCAAAGTTTTTGGAAAATAATTGAATTGGGTAAAGGTATTAGGGAATATGCGGACCAAGAAGGAATAGTAGAAGAGCAGCCATTGGTAAAGCTCAATAGATGACAATATAATAGTCACTGGACTATTCAATTTAATTTGTATACATGATAAATAAAACCACAGGAAAATAATTTCAAGGATTCTTGTTGTTCTGTCATACTTCTTTGGAGCTTAATCACCCTTAAATTATAACAGAATTCTTAATCATTGAAAATGGTTTTAAATTAGTTCTGCTAATAGACTCTGTATAGCCCTAAACACTGGACTCACTGTTATCACAACTGATCTAGTACAATAGTGACAACCAGGAGTTCCAGGTGTTTGTTTGTGTATCCAATCTGAGAATCTCTCCAACCGAGATTGAATTTATCTTATAAACTACTCAGTAATAGCATATGCTTGCTGTCTGTCGTTACATACATTATTGAAATAGCAACCTATTATAGATTTCTAGAAATGCTTTATTCCAACAGATTGGTAGTATATACTTTTGAACAGATAAAGTATTCACTTTGAAAAACCTATGGACCACTAAGAATTGTATCTTTACTATCTATTGACTAAATTAGCATACACTTACAAATCATGCCTATATGAGGCTTATAAGAACAAGCTTACCAAGACTAGGGTACCCAGGTGTAGAAGGGTCTCCTCCTGGATTTAGCGTCACCATAAAGGTCTCAGAGCTAAGATCTTCAGACTTTGGAACATCACAAGGATCAGTGTAGAGAAGAACACCTCCAAACCCAGCCTTTTCCAGTAACGAAATCTAAATAAGGGGAGAAATATTTGAAAGCATTGTACACATTGGATGCTCACAAGTCACTTCTTCCTTATTGTGGGCAAATAAAATAATTCATAATTCTTTCAATGTTTTTCAAAAGTCATTTTAATTCTCTGTTTTTTCCAAAATTTGAGCTGTGTGCTATTATTCTACTTTGCTTTTTGTCATTTCTATAAATATTATATCCTAAAGCAGTTTTTGGTAGTTTGAATGAAATTGGTCCCAAAAAACTCATAGTGAGTGGTGCTACTAGGCAATGTGGCTAATTTTGGAGTTGGCATAACCTTGTTGGAGGAAGTGTGTCACCGTGGAGGCAGGCAGGCTTTGCGGTCTGATATATGCTCAAGCGACACTCAGTGTCTCTATTCACTTCCTGTTTCCTAAGGCCCAAGATGCTTTAACTCTTAGCTCCTTCTGAAGCACCATGTCTGCCTGCATGTCTGCCTGCTCCCCGCCATGATGATAATGGACTGAACCTCTGAAACTGTAAGCTGTCACCTTAATTAAATATTGTCCTTTATAAAAGTTGCTGTGATCATGACGTCTCTTCCCTGAAATAGAAACTCTAACAGAGATACTCTTATAGTCACACATCACCATCTCAGAGCAGAAACTCAAGACAGTGACCTAGAGGGAGGAACAGAAGATAGGCTGTGGAGTGACACAGATTGCTGAGTCTCTTCCCCTAGCTTGCTCAGCTACCTTTCTTAGAAAGCCCAGACCCACCTGCCCAAGGATGGTCATGCCTACATCGGGACTGGCCCTCCTTGACTGATTATCAGTTAAGAAAATACATCAATAATATGCCCATAGGCCAATCTTACAGAGGCAATTTTAATTTGATATTCAAGTAAGTCTAGGTTTGGGTCAAGTCAACAAAATGTACTATACGCATTACCATTAGCACATAAAACAGCATGGAGAGAACATGGGTGAATTTTCTTGTTTTATTATTTTAAATATGGCAAGTTCTACTTATTCGTTGGAATAACATACATACCATGCATTTGAATTATATTCCCCCATTTCTTCCAACTCTTTCTTGATTCCCTGCCAATTACCCTTCTAACTTCATGTCCTCATTTTTGTTTGTTTGGTTTTGGTTTAATTTTCAATCATGTACTGAGTCAAGTTAGTGCTGTGCATACTTGAGCTTAGCTTCAGGTCAGCTACCATAGCACTGGGCAACCACAGCGGCCCTGAGTTTCCAATGCAGTGGTTCCTATATGTATAGAAGATACTTTTACACCCAATTCCTCCTTGACCATCAGTTCTTAAAATCTTTCTATGATGTTTTCTGAGGCAGGGTGTGATATAAATGTCCCTTGCTTAAAAAGTAAGTCCCACCAAAGTTCTTGATTCTCTCTATCTCCCAGGCAACATTTCTATATGGTTCATATCTGATTTCTTCCTCTGCTACAGACTTTCTCATTCTCTATCTTCAATAGTCCAAGAATTGTTACTTTTGCAAGTCTAACTGAGGATTCCCCTCCACACAGACTTCTGCTTTTGATGAATGCATTCTGCCTATTCTTCTGTCCTCCAGAGCAGAAAGTACCCAGTATGATGAGGTTACATCTTCCAGAGGAAAGCCTGTCCAACCAATTTAAAATGAAAAAACACTTTTCAGGCTACCTCAGTGGACCTTCTAAGAACCTCCTTGATATTATTCAGGTTGTGTGCTCAGTCCCATCTGGGAGAGAAGGTTGTAAAAGAATTCCAAACAAACTGAGGAGACACCTGCTTGTGAAGAACCCTTTACTGTCTGATCCTGAAGGGAAGCATTTGAAAACAGCCCCAGGATACCTCTTTCAAGATGCCTGATGGAAGGACGTAATCACTTTTAAAAGTGCACATGTATAATTACAACGGGATGATGATCTTGATATTTTCCAATGTTCTATTTTTTTGTTTGCTTAACCAATTTATGTTTATTACGCACCTTAGTGTGAATTAATATGATATGAATAACAACAAACATGATTTGCCGCTTCTATTTGTTTTCCATCAGAGATAAAAGTAATTAGAGGCCATTAAGTCAATAAACAGTGCAAGATTAACATTTAAATTGAGTGTATATTTTTACTACTGATTCAGAGATTTGACTTAATACTCATAGTTTACTTTCCAATTAATGCTCATATTGTTTACTGAAGTGTGCAATGGACTAAGGACAGTCACTGTGATCTTTACTGGACCCTGCTTTGAGGGCAGGATCAAGCTTCTTCTCCATACCAGTTCATGATACATATCATGGGATACTAGTAAGCAATCAAGAGTATTGACAAAACCTGCAACTACCCAGAATCAGAACCAGAGTAATGAGGTGGTCTACTCCTTCTTCTACTCCATTTATCATCTGTTGGAGCAAGTGAAGGGGCAGATGATCTTCACAACATAAAGCAATAACAGAAAATGCAAGAGATACCACAATGGGGGCCCAATATCAATGGTATACCAGAAACCAGAGGCCACAAACCACACCAATGACTCTTTGCAATGAACACTTGCAAGTAAAGATATATGGAATAAATGATATACTGTGTGACTTACTGTGTTACCCTGCAGTTTCCATGATGAGATATTTCTTTTTAATTTTATTTTATTTTATTTGGAAAGGAGTGGTTGCAAGGACAGAGGGTGGCTCCTAAGGGACCGGGAGATGAATAGGACTGAGATGCATGATGTGAAAGACACAAAGAATCAATAAAAGGAAAGATTAGAAAATAGCAAAAAAGCAGGGTTTCATTCGCTAAGTTAAACCTGTCCCGCTTCAGAGAGTCTGCTCAGAATTATGTGAGGTTGAGACCGCCCACAGTAAGCCAGCAGGACTCGTTCACTGAGCGTCATCTCCATGCCAGGCACAGTCACGGACAGCGCCAGGACTCCGGTGCCACGGGATGCACATTGCATCGTTCTAGAGATTATCCCTTACTTCTAGCAGCCATACCTGAGAGAGCTTGGAAAGGAATTCTAGACACACACACAAAAAAAATCACAGTTTAGCCACAATTTTTTTCTCTCTTAGTGGGCTCTGTACGCTGGCAGTGAGCAGGGAGGCAGAGGCAGATGAATCTCTGTGAGTTCAAGGCCAGCCTGGTCTACAAGAGCTAGTTTCAGGTCAGACTCCAAAGCTACAGAGAAACCCTGTCTCAAAAACAAAGCAAAAATGTGGGTCTCCGTCTGTATCGCCATCCATCATGGGCTGAAGGTTCTCTCTGATCTTGCCTTCTTTGCTCACGTTCTCTTTCCTTCTGCTTCTCGTTTGGACCTAGGGAGTTAAGTCCAGTGTTCCGATGTGGGTCTCTGTCTCTATCTCCATCCATCGCCAGATGAAGGTTCTGGGACTCTTGTCTATTTCCAATCTCCAGTCAGATAGCTACATGATTTTCATCAGGTTCACCTTCTTATTTAGCTTCTCTAGGATCACGAATAATAGGCTCAAAGACCTTTGATCATGGATAGAATCCACATATGAGTGAATACATACCATATTCCCCTTTTTGGGTCAGGCTTACCTTACTCAGTAAAGCGTTTTCTATTTCCATCCATTTGCATGCAAAATTCAAGATGTCATTGTTTTTTACCGCTGAGTAGAACTCTAATGTGTATATGTTCCACACCTTTATTAACCATTCTTCTATTGAGGGGCACCTAGGTTGTTTCCAGGTTCTGGCTATTACAAATAGTGCTGCTATGAACATAGTTGAACAAATGAGAGAACTTAGTACTTAGTGGAGTGAGTGCCAAAAAATGACTTTTCTACTGTTGCTGAACAGATGAGTGCTTTAGTGCACTTATTAACTATTATTATTAACAAGAGATTGAATGAATGAATGTTTCATGCACATCCATAGTGTATATACTGAAATTATTCTACATACATGTTATTTTGTTCTGTTGTTTACACAATAGGACTGAGAAGCTAATACAACATAATTTGTTGTGGAATTTACAGATACTGTTACAGTGTGACTATAAGTATTAAACCCGATTATTTTTAAATTTTAGGAATCAAAACATTTTATTAAATGTGTTGTATTTTCTCTTTATCATTCTTTAAAATACTTATTAAAAATAGTTTTATTTTGATTTGATTTACGTTTTGCTCTTGAAATGTAGAGACAGACTGGAGGTAATTTGCCTAGAAGGCTTTGACATTGTGATTTTTATTCTTGTTCATGAATGTATTGGCCATTTCAAGGTTGCTGATCCTATACATCATATTACAGGCCATAGTTATACATTTCTTGTTGTGTGCAGTATGCAATCAATTGCAAAGTATTCAAATGCCAATCGACAGTACCAGTTCATAGTCAGATAAAGGGTTGCTGGAAATAAAAGACTTTAAGTTTCCCAGGAATTATACTGTTAAGAATAGTAGTCAATATATATCTCCATTTATTACTGTGAACAGGTAGAATCTGGACATTGAGAAAGTATATAATTTTAGATACCCAGGGAAAAATCAGACAATGAATTTCAAATCAAAGGATACAAGAAAAGGAGCTTATATTGGTTTCTGTTATTTCTTATACTTCTGTTCCCTCTCTCAACTGAGTATCTTTTATTGTCCAGTTGTTGTTTTCTTTACATAACTCACTACTCCTGTGTCAAATAAGAAAGTGCCAATCGAATCCAGTAGCTGAGTTCAGCCATCCTCCTGAACTGTCAACTCTTCCTTTCAGATTGAAATATGCTAGCCTTGTATATTTGATTTGCCTTGCACAAAACTCAACGTATTTTCAGAATTCCAGAGTCATTTAAAGCATCAAAGGATGGTGGTTCTGTTTTTCATCCTTCAACACCTTTAGAGCCTTGGTACTACCACAGTTTTTTGAGGTCTCATATGAAAAATATGAGCGTAATATACAAAGGCTGTAGTTCAACAGATAGCTCTTACAAGCTGAGGAGGGTTCCCTTCCAAACCCATACAATGAAATCCTCACACTCAGCACACATTAAAATGCATCAACTATTAAAGG